TTGAAGGACAAAAAAAATACGATCACCTCAACAGATACACAAAAAAATATTCAATAAACTTAGCAACATTCATGATAAAAACTTAGCTAACTAGTGATAGTTCTCAGAAATTTCATACTCAATGGTGAAACATAAAAACATTCTTTTTAAAATGAATACCCAGTTACATAAAACATCCAGCTGAATGTCCTAGCCAGTTCAATAAGGCAAGAAAATGAAACAAGAAAAAAGAAAGAAAAATAAAACATACATAGAAGAATTAAAACTATGATTAATCACAAATTATGTGATTAACACACAGAAAACCCAGAAGAACCCATGAATCAGTAGAACTAATAAGAAAGTTTAGCGAAGTTCCTAGATATAAGAACAGTATATGAGAATCAATTTCATTTATATATGTGTAAAAATTAATTAGAAAATGTACCTTTAAAGAACAATAATGCATAAAATACTAGATCTAAGTATAATAAAAGTTGCACCAAATTTTTTTAATGAAATTATAAAAATTTACTAAAAGACATTAAAAAAGACCTAAATAAATGGAAAAACATATCATGTTGATGGTTTAATAGACGGTATTGTAAAACTGTCCGTCCTCCCCTGTTTGATCCAGATGTTCACTGTACCTCAGTCACAGATCCACACACTTGTTTTTTTCCTATGAAGTCGATAAGCTGATTCTAAAACTGGGGTAGAAAAGCAAAGGACTAGAATAGCAATGACACTCCTGAAAGTCAACAGGGCAGGGTACTTCCTGTACCAGATATCAAGACTTACTAGAAAGCTATAGATAAAACACACACACAGAGAGGTCTACGAATACAGAAAAAAAGAGATGGACCAGTGGAACAGAATAGGGAGCCCACGAATAAACCCATATTTATATAAAAACCTTATATATGTCACAGCTGTTATTATAGACTAATGAAAAAGGAGGGGTCATTCTATGATGATGTCATTATCATATAGATCACTGGTTATATTTTGGAAAAAACAAAAAAATAATCTCTACCTTACAGTTTGCACACACGCATGCATGCACACACATATATTAGTATGAAAAGCAAAACATTCAAATTTTTTAAAAGAAAATGTAGACAAATAGGGGCTGGGGTTGTAGCTTAGTGTAGCATGTGTGAGGCATTGGGTTCAATCCTCAGCACCACACAAAAATAAATAAATGTGTCCATCTACAACTGAAACAAATTTTTTTAAAAAAAAAAAAAGAAAATGTAGACAAATATCTCCTTTCAAAGGTTTTTCTTAAAGGAGAAAGAAAAATACGAAGTGATAATTTAGATTATCCAAAATATACGACTTGAGCAGAGAAATTAAACAACCTAACTTCACATTTGCAGAATTGTCACAGAGCTGGTTGTTTGGGTAAAAAAACAACTGTAAAATAGATGAAATGCTATTAAGCCAAATAAAGAAAAATAAATAAGACAAATATACAAAATTAGTGTTGCAGACAAAAATAGGACAGATACAAAAGCATTGTCTTTCATTGTAGGAGCATGCATAAACCCAGCCCAAGGTTAACAGGCAATGCAGGGATATCTAAGCTACCTAATTCACTGAAGGCATAGAAATTGATCAGAGAATTCCCTCCAAAAAGAGTTCAGGCCCAGTTTCACAAGTGGAGAGCAATTGTCTTATGCAATTACACAAAATACCCATTCTTGGAAAACTTGTATAATTCAAAACTCATATTCTACATACTGTTTTCTGAAAAGATGACAGGTATCCTGTTTATCAGCTAAACCATAAATAAAATTCACCACCTTTGAATTTATAGAATTGTTAATCATTTTTTTAATTTAGGTTGATTCATATTATTATCCATTTTGTACATAAAGTAACTTTTTAAAAGATAATATAACACCATTTCCAATTCATATAAGTCAAATTCACAAAGAGAGGTTCAAGCGTATTGTGGAAAACTCCTGAGAAACAATAGTTCCCACACCCTAGAGACAGTTAAAGAAGCATGGAAAGAAGAAATGCAACTGAAAAATATTTTGTGGGATCGGTATAACCCTGATATCAAAGTCTAGTAAAGACAAGCCAAAAGCAATACTGATTCACAGAGATGCAAAAATCCCAAATAAGTAATAGGTAATGTGTAGTATGTGTAATAGATGTTCTGCTTCCAAACTATCCCTTCACCATGAACAAACACTAGCCATTGTCTGCCAATAATCTAAGATACAGAGCCAGGGGAATGCCTGTGGCTATTCTAGAATGTTCCAGCAACTCCCAGAAGGTGAGCTGTATGTTTACCAACAGCCAATTGCATTGGTTTCCAAATCTGTTTATGCCAGTTGTTCAATGTGGTAATTAGATAAAGATTACAACAATGTGTAAAATGTTTATGTAATTCTCTTGACTTTTTTAAAAATTAAGTACCAGTGAGAACACAAAAGATAGGGGATCTTAAATGTTTAAAAAACAAAGCACTGCTCTCAGACTTTTTTGCTAGGATCGTTGAGTTCTCCTCAAACTGTAATAAATACAAAGCCAAAATTCAGATGTGGTTTATAATAACAAAAGGATAACATGGTCCTCAGTCCAGGACATCCAAATTCAAAGAAAAGGGCTCAGCACACATCAAATGATTAGCAAATGAAGATGCATGGATATGGGGTAAAGCTGAAATGCTTATGGCATGAGCTACGATTTTTAATGAGTCCTTATTAAACCAACTTTTTCAATCAGCCAACCAACTACCTGTTTGATTGCATTGGATAAGAGGGCTTCAGTCTCAGCAAACTGTAATACCATAACCAAATGGACCAATTTGGTTTACCCCAGGAATACAGTAACTATATTACAAAACTATACATCATCGAACAGGAAAAACAAAATTATCGCCTTGATAAATGCCAAATGACATCTGATAAAATTCAACTCCTATATCTATTTAATCTATCAACAAACTAACAATAAAGAACATGACCTGAACAAGATCCAGAATATCTGAAAACACTAATTAGTTATCATAAGGTATGGAAAATGAAAGAATCACTTTTATTATTCAGTGACTAAATAGCTTTATTCACTAGCTAGCTATGATCAAATGTTATTCTGGAAAAAAAGTACAAAATATTAGCTACTAGAAAGAGCTACTTATTACTATTTGAAGAAAAAAATCTTAACCACCTGGAAAACCCAAAAACTCAACTAACAACTGTCAGAATTACTGAAGAGCTTAATAAAGAGTCAGTTTCAAAGTAAGTACACAAAAATATTATTTTCTATATTCTAGTAGTCAAAATCTTTTTTAGGGGGTTGGGGAGTACCAGGGATTGAACCCAGAGGTGCTTAACCACTAAGCCACAGACAGTTTAGTAGAAGTCATGGAAAACACAAAAATGCAGAGAGTTAAAGTTACCTGTATTCCTACCAGTTGAAGAGAAGATTTTGATGTGCCTATGTTTTTAGACGTTTTTTATGTACCTGTGTCTACTTTTACTTTTTTAATTGAATTTGTATTGTACAATTCCCCAGACAGTTTTTTATATTTTAATTTGAGACAGAGTTCTTCGGGCCTCACTATGATGCTGAGGTTGTCTTTGAATTTGTGATTCTCCTGCCTCAACCCTCCCCCCGACCGCCACTGGGATTACAGGCATGCACCACGGCACCCAGCTATTAGTCAAAAATTCTTAAGGGAAATAAAAGATACTCCATTGAGAATAACAAGAAAGGCTAGAAAATGCCTAGTAATACATTTTAACAAGAAATGGCTAGACCTACAGAGAGTAAACTAAAACAACTCCTTGGAGGTACATAAAAGGGACAATAGTGAGAATTAACAAATTAGACATTTAATGATAAGGAGTAGTTAATACTTTATGGATATCCACAGCACATGCAGCCATATTTTTAAAGAATATAAAAAATGGAAAAGCATTCTCATTATACTTTGTTTTGAAATGTAGATTTTAAAAAAGTAGTACACAGTGCTGTGGCACAAGCCTACGATCCCAGTGACTCTGGAGGCTGAAGCAGGAGGATCTCAAGTCCAAATCCAACCTCAGCAACTTAGCAAGGCCCTATGCAACTTAGCAAGAACCGTCTTGAATTTTAAAAAAATAATAAAAAAGGGCTGGGGATATGGCTCAGGGGTTAAGCACCCCTGGGTTCAATTCCCCAATACAAAAAAAAAAATGTACAATACAAATTCAATTTAAAAATAATAATAAAAGTCGACACAGGTACATAAAAACATCTAAAAATGTAGGCACATCAAAATCTTAAAAGTCCTTCCCTTTAACTGGTAGGAATACAGGTGGTTTTAACTCTCTGCCTTCTTTGTGTTTTCCATGACTTCTACAAAAGATAAACCAGAGAAAAATACAAATAGACAGCACTTCCTCCTAGAATTCCATAAGACCCTGAATTCACAGGAATGGAATTGAACTCACTGCCCTTTGGACCACGGGACTTGATTATACACACCCAGGCTCCACACCAAAGTCATCTTCCCCAGGGACCCACACCCAGAAGGAGGACACTAGGGAATCAGCTGAGGCAGGCAGAAAGCTGACCAGTGGCCCAAGCAGACCTCTCAGAACCTGCCAGGACCCTGGGGCCCTTCAGTCAGGCACACCCTCCATGCATTGGGGAGGGACAGAGAAAGTCAGCCTGCTTTGCACACACTGACTTTTTGTGTCCTGTGTCCCAGAAGTCAGAGTCCAATCCAGAGAATTCCAGCGCTTCCAGTGGCCAGGCAGCCCCACCCAACCCCAGCCCCCACGCAGGTTAACAGGATTGAAAGGAATCTCAGGAGGCACCAGGAATAACATGGGGACATCACTGCTGACTGAGATCCTACCCCATAGGGGGTAGGATGCCCCACCCTCTTCTATTTCATGGATCGAGGCTGGTGACTATCTCTTCTTTCTTCCCTCCTCGGTTCCCCTCCTAGCTCCCACCCCTTAGCCCCCCCCCAGGGAAATCAGAGAGCCCACAAATAGGTAAGTAATACATACATGAGGGCCGGAAGGAGAGGACACCGTGTTAGTGGCGGCCCAGCTTGACAGACCATCCGAAAGCTACAAATTAAACAGGCTGGTTAGTGACGGGATTAGAGGATTCATTCGGGGAAGGCTGGATGGCCCACGGGAGTCATCCTCTTCCTCTATCCGGCACCCGCTGCTCCTCCTCCAAGGAGCCACAACAGTTGTGGGAAAGACGTATGCTCCGAGTCGGAGAAGCCTGGCTCCGTGGCCACCACCTGTGTGACCTCAGGCAAGTATCCTGCCATTTCTGAATCAGGATCCTGTCTAGAGAACAGCACCAAGCCCACCTCCAGCAAGAGGGAGAGGAAGGGCCCACACACTCAGCTCTAGTGAGGCACTGGATGCTGCCCCTGCCCCTGGCAGCCCTTTCACGTGCCTTTCCTGACCTTCCAAAATCTGCCTACCTGAGGGACACTCCTGCTCCCCATCAGAGAGGGGCTTTCTCCCATCCTTGCTGGGCAGGGTTCCCGAGCAACTGCAGGTTTCTCAGCCTTCTTGCCTCAAGAACCAGGGCATCACATGGCTCCCCAAAACTTGTACCAGGGAAACCTTAAGAGTCTTCCAGTCCCACCCTGCCACCCTATGCCACCAACTTTCTGCATCGGACCCTTGCTTGCTGTCTTCAGTACAGTAACTCGGTACTTATGGTGTACTTATCCCTGGAGTTGGGGACTCCAGGCAGGAGACCTGTTCAGAGAGCACCACAGTGGGCCAGAGGGAGGTGACAGCAGTCTGGGTAGATGAGCAGCAGACAAGTCAAGGAGATGCAGTCTCAGCAGAGAAGGTAGCAACGGCAAAGGTAGGAGGAGAACGAAGCAGATGGTCCAGGAAGGACAAAGAAGGCAAGGCAGGAGAGGTGGGGGGGTCAGCAGGACCCAGAACTGCCAGGCTGGTCTCTCCTCTTTTGAGCCCCACGCAGAGGGCTCTGGGAAGAGTCCATAGGAGGTCAACCCCCCAGGCCCTTCCTCCCTTCCTCAGCAGAAAGAGCCCTGGAGACACTTCCCAGAGGGTCAGGAACAGCCAGAGAAGGACATGGAGGATGCAGCCCTGCTGGCACCTGGAGGAGATCAGGGGACTGGAAGAGGCCACCCTGCTCTTTAAAGGGAGCATCACTGCAGGGACATCAGAGCCAGAAGCCTGGGCAGGAGGGCACAATGGCCCAAGGGCACCAGCCAGGCCCATTGGCCATGTGTTGTTGGGCATGCGCGGCCCCTGGAATAGACTGGATGACCTCCCCGTGCAACCCCCCAGCTGGGACAGAGACAGGGCCCAGCCCCTCCCATTCTCCTCCTGAAGCCCACAGAAGCCCTATTGTTATTTTTACTACAGTCCTTTTTTAGAAAGGTGAGAGGGAAACCGGCAGTTCACCCGAGCAAATGGGAGAAAAAAGAACACACTAAACATAGTGCCCCAAAGATCGAATCCAGCTTCAGAAATTACACGTTCCCCTTTGGGATGTGGGCATAATTTGCTGCTCCAGTTCTGGGAGTGTGTTTCCACCTTCATGGTGTCCCAGAGACTATAACTGGAGCAGCAAGCTCAAAATTACCCCAAGCCTGGGAGCCTAGGAGCCTGAGGGCCTGGGAGCAGGCCAATCCCTGCACTTCAGCCCGCTGGCGTGGGGAGCAGGTCAGTGCCACCTTCTGGTGTTTCCTCCACTCTGGCCTGCCAGGCCTGCCTCCTCGCTAAGCCCACGCCCACCACACACACACACACACACACACACACACACACACACTTACACACACCTCACCACATAAACACAAACACATTCCACCTCACCACACACACATATATCCATGCACGTGCGCACCCGCACGCACACAGTCCCACTTGCAAACCTCTGCCCAGATTCCTGCCTCCCAGGCAAGCCCTCCTCTCTCCCCTTTTCTAACCCCACCCAGCCTCCTCTGAGGCCTCCCTCCTGCAACCTCCTGGAGGGCATCCCTGATTATTCAAGCCCAGGCTGACCCCAGGTCCAGGAGTCCCTGATGTTGGGTATCCTAGTTGCTAAAGCACCTCGTCCCTGTGACATCACTCAGTGAAAGTCTGATAGACACCTCCCGTCTCCCCAGGATCCAATTCCCCAAGTGTTCTCTCTCTTTCTCTCTCTATCCCCACTCCAGAAATTCTCCTCTAGAGACCTAAAGAGGGGACCACACCCACACCGGTCCCTGAGAATGCTAGCCGAGAGTCACCCTAACACGCCAAGTGGGCTCTGCAGGCTTCTCCATGCCCAGAGAGGGGGCAACATTGGGGGTGCAGACCACCATGTCTGCTTTGAGCTTCGAGACGCTCGCTGGGCCTCAGCTGGGGCAGCAAGCCCTGCACATCTGCTTACTGTTTTTCTTTCCATCTTTATAATCATAACACCCAGAACTGGTTTAACTAGAAAAACAGATTCATAAACAAAGGCCCTAGTTGTTTGTTTGTTTTGTTTTGTTTTGTTTTTAAGTAGCAATGGAGTCAGAATCAGGGACAGAAGGAGAAAAGGATGGAGAATGAAATGTGGGTGGACAGCAGTTTACTTAGTTGGAGGCAATGCCCACCTGCTCATTATTTTCCCAGTTATATCAAATGAACATGTGTCATATTTATGATCAGATAAAAATGAATATATCCGTTTTTAAAGTGGAGACCTGGGTGGAATCAAGTGTGCTCTCCTTCTGTGGGGATCTACCTAGGACTGCCTCACACTCAGCAGTCAAGGCCACCAACAAGCCTAGACACACACCTCTGGCCAACACCCTCAGAGCTTGTCCACTCTCTTGTTCCCATCGTCCCCACCTCCCTTGCACACTCGCGTGCATGCCATACCACACACACACACCACACACTCAGGGACCCATCTGACACCTACACAGAGGACAGCCTGATGGACCAAGAACAAACAGTGGAGCTGATCTGCAGGAATCCCACCCCCATCCCAGCCCACTTCTGCAGAGAACAGTTCAGAGAGGCCAGGCACCCGCCCACACAGGGTCTCCCCGGCCCTAGAGATGGGTGCCGGCCCCGAGCCCCAGGAGGCAGATCTGCCTCATCCACCCACTTTGTCATCTCCAGAACTGACGACTCCTGACACCAACCAAGACGCTTCTGAGAAGCAGAGGACTTCTCTGCGCGCCAGCATCAAGAATCTCAGGTGACAGTCTCTACCTGGGCAGTGGGCTCATGCCAGCACCTCCGCAGATGATGGTGAGACTTTCTGAGCAGAAAGGTATGAGCAAGGAAAGAAAGGGCGAGATCTGAGAGAACAGGGCCAGCTGGAAAGGAGCCCGAGGCCAGCGCCACAACTGGGAGCCACTGGGAAGCCATGGGGACAGGGTTGGGGCGTCAATCATGAGAATCACACAGGCTGGCCAAACAGGAGCCAGGCGAAACCTAAATTCTGCCAAAATCCTTGTTCCGCCAGTTCCTATAGACCAGGGCGTTCCATTCTATCTGCTTTGTGGGGGAGGGGGGGTCCCAGCCAAAACTACCTGACAAACTATTACAACTGGAGCCCACTGCCTCCCTGGTCAGCCCTGGAGAGGAACCCCCAAGTGCCAGGAGGGTGAAAAATTTCTTGGATCTGCCAAGTCAGATCAATAGATCTCAGAGAAAAACACAATATAAAATCAGACACCAGACTGGGGGCTTCCCTGGAGGGTCAGAGCCCCTTGGAGACCAGGGCTGGTCTCACTGCTAGATTTTGGGCTCCTTGAGAATAGGGGGGCTGTCTCCATCAGTTTGTTCAGTAAGTCTCTGTCCAGCTGGGGGTTTGCACGGGGAGGTCATCCAGTCTATTCCCTGGGAGCAAGCTGGTTTGCCCTCCTCCATCTCCCCACTCACCTCTCAGGTCAGGTGAGACCACCCACACACACACACACATACACCATGGTGCACCTCCAGCCAGGAGCCAGCTCTCTGCTCCAGCTCCTCACCATTCTGCCTGGCCAACAGCTCTAGCCAGAATGGCCATGCGCTCTCCACAAAGAGCCTGGGGCTGGTCCTGGCTCAGACCCCAGCCCCAGTTCCCTTGTGTCCACGCTGGGAGGACGTCCAGACTAGCCTCCTTACTGTCTGCCTCTGGCTGTACTTGTAGCCAACAGGACCCAAAATAATCCCTTCTCATTCAAATCTGCAGACATTTTGAGGGCAACACTTATAGAATAGAGATCCGCTGGGCAGCCCACTGAGCAGGGCAGGAAACAGGAGCCAGGATCAGGCAGTCCAGAGTCTGGGGCAAATTCTCTGCCTAATTCAGCCCTAAACACCCAACCAGACCAAAAGGCATGAGCACAAAATTTAGCTAACCTTCCTATTGAGCCATCTGAAATGTCCATCTGGGTTTCCCCAGCCAGGAAAGGGTCCTCCTGAGACCCATACAGACACAGGACAGGCCACCCATCCATCCATCTATTTATCCATCTATCCATCCATCCATCCATCCATCTGTCCATTCACCCATCCATACAGACTTTCACTGAAGACCTCCTCTACCGCAGGCCCCATGCTGGGCACTGAGGATATAGAGAGGAAGGTACCCCAATCACTGTCCTGAACTTAGTCCAAGGAAGATGCTGACCTTTAGAGGACCTAGGGCAAGTTCAGTAACTGAGATCTTCCAGGCAAAGGGGAGGAGCTAGGGAAGACTCCTCAAAAGAGATGACCACACCGGAGTTGAATCTTAAAGACCAACCAGGAGTTGAGCAAGACGGCAGAGGCCAAGGTTACCTTAACAGAAAGATTGGCAGCTCAGACCTGGGGACCCCTGGAGGCTGGGGAGACAGAGAGCTCGGGGCTTCTGATGTCTTCTTAGCACTAGGAAACTACAGAGCAAGACCTTAACTGACCCCAGAGATGTTCCCCTGGAAGTAGCAGAAAGATGAACGAATGAGAAAGGGGTAAACAGCCCTAAATGACCCAGGGAAGCCCTGTAGATGTGACCTGAGGATCCTCAGCCCAACCCACACCCAAGTTGTTCTCTTCCTCTCCAAGCTAATATTTGATAGTTTAAAGAACACGGACCTCTCTGAAGTGCCACCCCATCCTGAGCACATCTGCAGTCTGGGGGCCTGAGAACACAGGGCTATCTACACGGGCTGGAAGATTCAGGCAGCCTGGAAGCTCTGGGAGCCCGAGGGTGTCAGAGATGTCATGCAATATGTGGCCAGCATCATGTGGAGCCCAGAGAAGAGGGTGACAATGTGACAGTCAGCAAGTTCATGGCCTCTGCCCCCAGTTGCAGGAAAAGATTGGGTGGCCTCAGCTCTGAAGGATCCAGAGCCCCTCTAGACCCAAGGTACAGAGAGTGCCCTCCCTCCCAGGTTAAAGATGTCACAGACCTTGGGCTGTGTCATTTACCATTGCATCTAGGTCACCAGCAGGCTCTAGGTAGCTGAATATAGCAAAGGATCGCTCTGACTTCCTCAGAGTTGAAGACCCTTAAAATAATGTCCCTCTCCTGCCCCTCTTCCTTCCTGTCCCTGGTGGAGGGGAACAAGGTAAGATGCATCACTAGCTTGGAGGTACCTCCAAGGTGCCACCAAGTACCAGCCCATGGAAGAATCCTCCTCCCAAGAAGAGGTCTACCCAGGGGAGGGTGATGGGGCTAGAGTACCCAAGACCGCCCAGCCCTCCGTCCCTACCTTCCTTCTCCTTCATGTCTCTCCACTCTGATTTACTGAGTGATCTCCAGGGGGAAACCCTCAACATGGCCCCAAAGGTATCAGGCGCAAGCTTCCAGGAAAACGAATTGAGTCTTTCCCTGAAGACCACAACTCCCTCCCCTTCAAAGACTGAAAGCCCCCATCTAGGTCCCTCCACCATGCAGTAACCAGCCACCAGCGTGCAGAGGGAGACATTCTCTAATGGCTGTGTGACAATAAAGCACGGAGAGCAGGAGCAAGAAGAGATGGGGAAGAGGAGTGGAGGGGGAGGGGAAATCCAGGCCAGCCACTAAGGGGGGGAGTTGGCCTCTGTCCCATGGGGCCCTGCGCCCATCCTACCTGGATGGGGATGAGGGGCTCCTTGTCATCGATGTCAATGAGCACATCTTCTCCAGGACTGAGTAAGCTCACATCATCTGCAGGTAGAACCGTGTCCAGGCTGGTGAGGGACTCGGCCGGGGAGCTCGGACAAGACCCCTCGGTCTCTCCACTTCCTCACCTCTCAGTTCTCCCCACTCCTCTTTGCCCTGTCTCCCAGTTCTCTCTCTCAACTCTCCTCGCATTCCCACCCCCTCCATTATCCCCCTACATCTCCTCCCTCGTCACCTCTTCCCTCGACTGACCTTCATTTGGACCCATCCCTCCTCAGCTCCAGGAGGTTCCCACCTCTGGTCTAGCTGACCCGAAGCCACTTCTCACCCAGACCCCCCAAAGAGACAAGCTTCAGGATGCCTCTCAGCTGGGAGGTGCTGCCTGCCCTGCCCCTCTGCCCTGGCCCCTCCAGGCAACAATCCTGCCCCCTACCTGGGCCGCCCTGTGGGGACGGACTCTCCGGTGAGTAGGGGTCACACAGGAAGCTCTCCAGGGAACGGATGGTGCACTGGCCCACTACAGGCCGGCGACCAAACTGGCGGTTATCAATGACCTTCACCACGATGGGGGGACAGTAGAGTTCCTCCCTGGGCAGCATCTAGGTGGAGGAGAGGGAGAGTTTGGATACCAGCCTGAGCCCATTTCTGGGGAGTCACAAGCAGGCACGAGGAACTGGAAAGGACCACAGGCCATCCCCAATAGCCAGAAATCCAATATGGCGGACGGCAGAAACCCAGGAGCTGGCCAAGGAAGCAGAAGCCACACACCTTGCTCTCAAATGCTTATGTGGAGGCTGGCTTCCCGGATAGCTTTACCTTCCAAATACACCCAGCTCAGCCTGCAGCTCAGCAAGGCTACTTACTCTCCCTGAGCGCGCGTTGGCCGGGGAGAGAGAGAGGGGAGTTGGCCCAGGACTCCACATTTCTTGCAGACAGTCCCCCCCAAGTGGATACTCTAGAGTTGGCTTGCAGACCCAGATCCTTCTCCCCCACCCCCAAAGCACTTTGAACACAACTTGAAATAATTTATATGCTCTCCTTCAGTGGCGGCTTTGGCTCAGCCGAGAGGAGGCTCCTGTTGACAGCCACTGGGCCTGGAATTCCTATAGCGCTTTCATCTCACAGAACATTTTCCTCTCCTCAGACTTGCCTCACGCCGCCGGCCACTAGGCCCAGGCAGCACAGGGAGCAGGAGAGGGCTGGAGGACGGAGGCCCGAGGAGCAAGCACCTCTAATGGGTCCAGGCCAGGCCAGGGTCAGGGTCAGGGCAGCTTGGGAGGAAGCGCTGGGGGGTCAGAGCCCTGGCAGGTCCCTGAGGGGAGATCCAGAGACTATCACCTGCCCTGGAAGGAAAACCAGCCGCTCTTAGAAGCTTCTGCTAATCCAGGATTGGGTGTGAGGGAGGAGGCCAGCCCCATTTGTCTGCTCTAAGGACAGGATCTTCTAGTGAGGAGAGAAGGAGCGTTTTCCCCATTTTCACAGGAAAGTGAGGCAGAGAGATGACCTGAGCCCCTAGGGATCCCGCAGGGAGCCAAAGCTCAACCCCTCGACTGCCTGAGGCCATGAGGACACTCTAGCCCCTAGGACTCTGGGAGGGGACAGAGTGGGGGCTCACCACTTCCATGAAGAGGGTGCAAACATCAAAATTGGGGTTCTTCCGGAGGTTCCTGATGACACAGGACTGCACCGCCTGGCCCCCGCACTCCACCACGAGGCTGGGGGAGGAGACGCTGGCCAGCTGGTAGCTCTTCATGTTCCGCAGACCCCATGCCAGGATCTAGGGACAGACAGAGGGGATGGCTGGGAAGGCCCAGGCCCTGGGGAAGACTGGGGCCAGGAAGGCAAAGGGCCAGGCTGCCCCCAGCCCCCGCCCCCACCCAGGGCCAGGCTCACCTCAATGGCTGTACGCTGGAGAAGTGGTTTGATGTTCTGGGGAACCACGTAGACATTGGCCTCCCTCTGGGGTGGCGGGTAGGGCAAGTCTGTGTCCTCGGACTGCAGGGGTCAGCAAGTGGACAGGAGACAAAGGCGGAGAAGACCAAGCCGAAGATGTAAGAAAGGACAGAAAAAAATGATGTGCACAGGGAGACACAGAACAGAGACCCAGACCCAGACCCAGACGTGGGGTCAGGCAGGCAGAAGTGGGGGAGCTGTCAGCCTCTGCAAGGCACCACCCTTTCCAGGATTACCAAACGCCATCCCCCAGGTTCAGGTCACCCCATTTCAAGTGAATACCAAGCTTCACCTCCTCCCATATTGCAGGCTCTGGTGACCAAGAGCAGCTCGGGGTCTCCCCAACCCCAACACGCACGATGCACATGGGGCCTGCTTCAACCCAGAACATCCACGTGCCTCCCTCTACCCTGCTTCTCCTGCCCCCTGGCTCAGATCCCACTGGGTTACCATCCCCCAAACCCACATCCACACCCGGACACCTTCCAGCCCCAAACCTGATCTCTCACGCCTGTCCCCCATGAGGACAGAACATTGTATACCAGAAGAGCAGAGCAATCGATAAAAGAGAAAAGGAGATACATGTTCATTATGTCTGGAACACATGAACTCTCACTAGGACTACTGGTGACACCTTTGTGACCATTAGAGTAAGATATCCCTTTCTCAAGACAATCTACTTCATGTCAGAAAACTGTCATATTTTAAAAGTTTATTAGGACAAGACACTTTACTGCCACCTACTGGAAAATTTTTATAAAAAAATATAAATTTATGATGTTTGTGTTAGAAATTGCACCCCCTTAGACACAGTTGCCTTTGTACAGTGCATAACCTGCCCATCCATACATGGAGGCCATAACATTCAGGAAAGGTTGACTATAATTAAAAGGGCTGTGCTGAACATTTTACAGAGCTGGCTTCCTGTAATCTCATTTAATCAACCATGGAATCATTAGAGTCATTCTCCAAGTAACTAGCTTTGGGTTTCTTCTGAAAGGATAACACATGCATCTACAGATGCTCTGTCATAGATGGTGAGAGAAGCTGAAACAGAAAAAAATACCAGCTTCATGAAACCTCACAGCCAACCCAAGCCATCCTTTCTGTCCAAGGACACTCAGATGACCCCATGCTTCTCTGACCTGGAGCAGTAGTAATAAGCTCTGTTCTAGAATCAGACAGACCTGGACTCCAGTTCCAGCTCTGCTATTGCCTAACCATTTGACCTTGGGCAAATCACCCAACCTCAGTGACTCAGGATCCTCCTAAAGATCGGGGATAGCAATATTCTTGTGAAGTTGCTCTGAGAATTAAACGAGACATTTATATAAAGAGTACCTGGCACACAGAAGGTGCTTAATAAATGGTTGTGACCGTAATTATTACTACAATTGTCAGTGCCATTGTTTCTACCATCAGTACCGGTGTTGCTCTTCCCAGGATGACTTAAGGACCGCAGGGCCACCAGAAGCATTAAAATGCCACAGCAATGCTGGCATTATAAGCAGGGACGCCTCAGTTTCCTCCCCCACCCACATTCTGACTGGCTGAGGAGGGCTGATGTCCAGGGCTGCACATCACGTTGCCGCCTGCTCGGCCACTGCAGTAGCCTGGCTGCTCGGGCCACCCCTAGTGTGATGTCCACCACGGCACTCCAAGGCCACCAGCTACAGGTGGCTGTGAACCGGGGTGGCCTCTCTAAAGGAAGGCTGTACTTCAAGACCCACTCATGGCCTGATGGTGGCCTCTCCTGGCTGATGCCCAGCTCACTGTGGGGCCAAGATAAAATAGGGACAAAGGGATCAAGGAGGGAACAGCCCTAAGCTCCCTGAGAAGGACAACCCGTCAATACATTTCCCCCGGAACGTGTCCCCTCTGTGCTCTCCTTTTCTCTCCCTCATTCCCCAACTCCATCTTTCCTCGCCAGCCCCCAGAGCTCCGTGGTGACGACGTCCTCGCCATGTGCAGAACCTGCCCGCGGAGACCACAGCCCTGGCGGGTTAAGCGCTAGTACCGTGTGCAGCAGACCCTGGAGGAAGAAGGCAGGAGTGCACAGCTGCAGGGCGCCGGCCCAGCGGAGGCAGGAGGAGGAAGCAGAAACAGAGGTTAGAGATGAGTCCATCAGCAGCTCCCCACTAGAGGCACCAGACACATCCACGGCCCCCTCCAGCCACATCCGGTCCCCAGGGATCCCAGGACATTCTGGCCCCCAGGCTGGTTCCACCACCTCCTTGGGATCCCACCTCTGTCCCACCCACTGTACCACACAAGCTGCCACCACACTGTCCCCCCAGCGCCATGTGTGTCACACCTTGGCTCCTGGAGCTCTTCCTTCCCCGACCCATCTCTCTGGAATCCACCCGCGCCCTCCCCTCTGCGGGCCTTCTCCCGCCTCCTCCTCTCCTTCCTCTCTTCTCTCTTCCTGTCCCCACCCAGGGCCTCCCTGTCCAGCGCCTTCGGCTTCCCCCCAGCACCCCATCCTGGAAACTTCTCTCTCCAAAGTCAACAATCACCTCCTAGAAGCTCAGCCCAAAGTTCACTCGTGGGTTCCCACCTCTCCCCCTCCACAGCATCTGCCCAGCTGACCCCCATCTCCTTCCTAAAGCCACCCCTCTGGTTCCACACTGCTGTCCCTCCTGCCCTCTGATGCTAAGTCTCTCCCTGGGCAGCCTCCCCCGCTTCCTCCACCAGCCCTGAAATGCCAGGGCTCCTGGGTTTTCTGTTCCCGCTTGTCTCTTCTCAGCCCCATTCCTAGAATCTTTCTGCTCCGTTCATCCACGCACCTGAAGGGCCGCTCACACTGAACTTGTCCAACACTAGACTCTGCTTTCTCCCTTTCAATGCCATCTCAGAAACTGGCCCCAACAGCCATCTGGACAACCAAGCCAAAAAAAAAAAAAAAAAAAAGTGCCACCCTGGGTTTCTCCTCCCCTCGTCACTAATCTCTCTCACACCCACCCTGTCTTCTTCCTGGGCTCAAGCCAGCACCCTCTCTCTCGGACTCACTACCATCCAGAGTGGTCTCTGTGCATGTGAGTTGGCACACCCACTCCCTACAAAAAGTGCACATGTGCTTTGCAGCCAGTCCAGGTTTCCAAAAAATGCCACCCTCTGCTTACACTCCTGAAATCCCCCCACCCTGGCAGGAATAATGCGAATTTCTTTAATGAGGCTTCCAAGGAGGATGCCAGGGACCTGGGGAAGGGCTGTCTAGGGTCCCCACCAGATATGTGTGGGGGGTCAGCTGGCAGTGGGCAACGTGGGCCTGGGCTGGGAACCCTACCTGGGAACTCTGGGAGGAAGAGCGAGGACCCTGGGGAATGAGCAGGTGGAGGGAGCCTAGTTGGGACTGTGTGGAGAAGGGTGCAGGTGGAGGGTGGGCCGGGAGGTGCCCAGGATGTGCCAGAGTTCTCTGTGGGCCTGTGCGCCCACACCCCGTCATGGTAACACTTTCTGGAAATATCTCTCAAATGCTGCTCTCTCCCCTCTCATCCCACTGCCACCCCCAACCCAGGCTGGGGCCCCTTTCCAAGGAGGCTCCCCGTTCCTGTTGACTTCTCTGATCACATCTCTCACCAGATAAACTTCCCCTCCAGGAGCCCAGATATTGATGAGCCACCTCCCAGAACGTGCCGACCCCCACAGCTTCCAAGCTCTAGCAGGTAGCCAGAGGCACCAGGCTCTCCTTAGCTTGGAGGCTTGGAACTCACTGGACCCTGGGTCTGGAATGAGCTTCTGGCCACTTCATCTGGTGACCTGATCTGCTTGGACTTCAGATGTCCATTTAAATCTTCCCTATGCCCTGAGCATAAGCCAAAGCTCCCTCACAGCTCCCACAGCCACGTGGACTTAGTCCCACTGAAAGACACATCTATCCCTCTGCACCATTCTATGTATTCATATGACTGTGTCCCTGGTGAAACTGGCAATTCTGTACAACTGGGATCACAGCTAAATCCCCCACCTAATAAATGAATGATTATGGGTAGATTACTGAAGGAAGGGAGGGAAGAAGGGCAGACAGAGGAAAGAGTGCAGGAAGAGATGGATCAAAAAATGATCCCGACACACACCTTCTCTCCTATCTGCTCCATCCCGGCCCTTGGGTCCCCGCCCAGCCCTGCCTCCCCTGTCTGCTCACCGCTGTCTGTCTGCATGGGTCTGCTCATCTGCCCAAATCTAACACAGCTTTCAAAGCCTAGGTCAAGTTCTCCAGGCACCCAGAAATCTCCCCCAAACACTCCAGAAACTTCCCATAACCCTACTCTCTGACATCTTTCAATCCTAAATGACCCGGGCCCCACCCACAGTTCGCGCGATCCTAACCAGTCTCTGATCATCTCACCCATGGAAGTGAAAGAAATAGAAAGTTGGTGGTCCACTTTCAGAATATTTAACCTTGATTGGATCCAACTGTAGCCATTTAATGAGAGCCCATCTCTTTGCCCACCCCAATTTTAACATCAGCTCATCGAGTAGATGATAACTCCAAGCTCCTCCAATCTGGGCAAGGGGCAGTGCTGCATTAGGGATAAAGGCGGGGCCTGCCTGCCCAGGGGTGCTTGCTAGCCAGGTGGGGCAGTGTGCCCTTCAGCGGAAGTCACGTTGGCCTTGCCCACCCACTTCCAAGGTGTTCCACTTTCCATTCTTGCAGCACCTCGGAGTCTCTAACAGGAGTCCTGAGCCCATGCAGAGACGGCTCCTGAGCACCCCCTTTCTCATCTTCTCAGAGAAGGTGCTGTGACCCTTATCAGACCCCTATCAGCATGGCCAGGCAGGGGCAGGGTGCAAACTGCAAGCACAACTAGGACATCCCGATTCACTGTCCTATGGGTGACGGGGACTCCAAGGACAGCCATACCACATAAGCCAATTAGAGGGAGCCAGCCCATTCCTGGCGTACCCTGAACGCAGGGCAGGCAGACCTGCAGCAGCTACAGTGGTGGGCCGAACGGGCAGGAAGGATGTCCACCAAGTTGGCTCAGATCAAGAGGACCCCAAGGACAGCGAGGCTCTCCCCACAGAGCTGAAGCCACCTGGAGGCCTGTCAAGGTGGCACCACAGTGGACAGATGCTTCTTGCCAGGACAGAGTAGACGGGGACAAGCCTCTCCAGCCACCTAGCTGTCCCATCACCAGAAGTCTATAGACCCCACCTTGCCCAGTGGGAGAGAGTCAGGGGACCCTCTGGACATTCACATCCCTGTTCCTCGGGGAGCTCCAGGCAGGGGGCAGCCAGGCGGGCTGGGAGGGCTCCATTGTCTGCCGGCCCCACCCAGCTCGTTAGGAGCAACATGCTGCTCTAATTACACTTCCCAGGAAAAACAGTGTTTCAAATTAAGGCCTTGGGGGAGGAAGAGGGGGATGGGGGACCATTGGGCTTATTTTCCTGATTGCAAAACATCAAATTTTTCCTTTTGGTGGATGTAGGGGTGCAGGAGGGTACCTCCAGTACATCTCAAGTGAGAGTCACACACCTTGTCTCCTGGATTGGGACGGACACATGGGGTGACATCTGGATGGCCCCTGAGCCAGCCATGAAAACAGTCACAGAGCATGTGATCCCTCCTACGAGGGCGTCCCTGCCACGCAGCCCTGGCATGGTCAGGACCGCAAGCCCCAGGGGTCCTCTCTACGCGTGCTCCACATCTTAAGGGCCCTGGTTAGAAAGGATCCCAGCAGCACCTCTCCTGCCCAACGTGTGTGCGTGTGTTCTCGCGAGTGTCCACATGTACACACGCTCGCACGTGCATGCACACACTCTCCAGTTCTCAGGAAATCTGAAATTGCGTTTCTTTGAACTCCTTCCCCCTGGCAGTGAGGACCGCCTTTGTTCTCCGGGACAAAAAGAAAAAGAACCAGAGGAGGGCTCAGAGGAGGCGGGAGAAGGAGGGAGGCGGCCAGGGAGCACACAGAGCAGGGCGAAGCCCAGGGAGGGTGGGAAGAGGCTCAGAGAGGGAAAGACAGACAAAAAGGCCCTGAGGACAGGGGACCTCCACACGCCCTCTGAGACTCCAGCCTCCAGTGCACGGGGCAACATTCTACTTCCCCCACAGAGAGCCTTGGAGAGTGGCCTTCACACAGGCACCCAGCCTGGAGAAGGGAAATTTTGTCACCCCAGGCAGTGACACAGCCCCAGCCCCAGGCACTGCTGCCTGCACCCGCTCCCTGGGCCCTTTCTGCCTATTCAAACACTAGCTCGGTGTCACTTCTCCCAGGAAGCTAGCCCCGCTGTCCTGCTCTGGGAGCCCACAGCTCTGGGAGACAGCAATGCATCTAACTCACAGGCACGTGTGAATCTTTGCTGCCCTGGCACAGATGTTCTCCCCACAGGAGGGGCCATCCGGAGTCCCCGGCCCCATCTGCTCCTCCAGCCCCCTCTAGTCTGGTCCCCCATGACGGTGACTATCTCAGAAGCCTCCTTCCTAGCTGGTTTCTCCCCCAGTCCCTCCCTCCCCAACACGCACCGTGCAGTCAGACAACTTCTAACACCCCCGTTCTGCCCTCCCCACTCTCAGACTTTCCAGGGCTTCGGGAAGGCTCAGGTAGTCCCCAAAGGGATGAGGCTGGGGCCTGGGAGGGAGTGGATGGGAATCAATGGCAGGAGCTTGGCCACAGCACGGAAGACAGAAGAATACCACCAGGGCCTTGGACTCCCCGCAGGACCAACCCAGCAGCAGCCTTGACCTGCCCCCTCCCACCTCAGGGGAGCCGGAAGACCAAATAGGACCCTCATATTGGTATGAAGCTTGGCCTTGGAGTGAGTGGAAGTAGACTGAGCTATGGGGGTGGGGATCATCTGGAGGCTTGTTCCCTGGACTAGATGACACTCCATTCATCCAATTGGACCCCGGGCCTTTGAACCTGCTGGCTCAGTCCAGCCCTGTGCCCAACAGACCCCAGGACTTGTTCTCCCCTGGCTCTGCTGACCCACAGGAGGCCTCAGCCTGTGGCCTGGCTGGCCCTGCAGCAGGACACTTGGCCCTCTGAAGGATCTGGACCAAAAGCTACAGTTTTGATTTGCTTCCTGACAACCAGACCGCAGTTGGATCCCTGTGCTTAGAATCTGAGCCTTTACTGCTCTATATGACAAATCCAGTTATGAAGGATTCTAACTTTTTTTTTTTTAATAACTCATCCCTGGGCTGGGTCTTCTTCAGAGGAGGCTGTGGGTTTTGGCCACAGAGTGCTCTCAATCAAGAGCGAGGGCTCCGTGCTGCTTCCCTGGACCGGGCTCTGCCTCCCTTTCCAAATCGGCAGTCTTTCGCAACTGCAGCCAGAAGCTGGAGGCCGCCTGTCAGGCGCAATCACGGCCAGCTCACTTGGCGGACCCCACCTCAGTCTGGGAGTGAAGGAAGTGAGGTAAGGGGCGCGGGGCCTGCAGATCCCACATCCTGGTTCTGCGCTTCAAGTCTAAATTGCACTGAAAATGTCAAACGATGTCCGCTCCCAGCCTGGGGATTCCCTGATGACAGGAAGTGGCTGCCCTTTTCCCAACTGGCCCTCTGACCAGGGCTCTCATTCCTGTCTCTCTATCCAAGACTCTGCTGCCCGCTCACTCATCATCATCCCCTGACCCATGCACAGGAGGCCGAAAGAGAACGTGCTTCTCACGCCCAAGGACGTGGCTCTCTTCACGTAGCTGTAGCTCTAAACTTCTTCAAGTGCTAGGAGTCCACGTTCCATCCACCTCCTAAACTCCCATGCTGGTCCGTGGCCCCTTGGGCCAAAGGCGTGTTTCCACCTTGCTAAGTGCTGCACAGATGTCTGGCTAATGCTGTCTCCACCAGAGAGGCTTCCTTGACTATTCTGAGCCCTGCTGAACATTTTAGTCTTACAAACATGCCACCTGGTAGTCAACCAGCTAGAACTTGAGTAGCCTGGGTAAGTCTGGCCCTCCCAAGAAGGCAGCAAGCCTCTGAGGTGACACACACCCTGGGACACTCCCCAGGCAGCCCTGGACCCACACAGAGCTTGAGGAATAAAGCCCAGATAGGTCCCCATATGACAGGTGCCTATTGGCACCAGGAAGCTAGAAGACTCTGGGGTATGGACAGGGAGGCTGGACAGCTGGCCTTCACCTCCCTCTGTGTCTGCCCACTGGTCCCCAGCCACAGGCCACAGCTCCAGTCCGGCTCACCTCATCCAGGATCCTTGATGTATCCTGCACCTGGACCACACCATCGAATGTTCCACATCCAGGAGATAGTGCATGAGGAAGAGGGAGGTAGAAGTCTCCATTAGTAACAGGGAGAGCTAGTCTGGGCCAGAGATCAGCACTCCAGACACCACCACCAAGAGGAGCCAATGAAAGGCCCCTCCCGGCAAGGGGAGAATGCCGTGCTCCCAAGCCACACCCTCCATGATGTCCGAGAAAGAAGATTCAATGGACCTGAGCCAGAGGGACATGTGGGAAAGACTCATGCCCAAGCGTAGAGTCCAGGCAGCTCCAGAAGTGACCGGAGAAGGGAAAGTAACAGACAGGTGGCAGAAGGACCTAGAACCCTATGAAGCAACCCCGGGAGGAAGTCGGGCCTGGGCCTTGGAGTCATTGCTTCTGCAGGGCAAGTGGACCTGGGGGACCAAGGGGGACAACCTTGAGTCTCCAGGGCTGGCAGAACTGAGAGTCGAGCTGGGAGAGGACAGAAAGGGAAACTAGCAAGAGTCGGGGGAGAAGCGGAGGGCTGGGGTGGCAGAGGCGGCCTCGTGCGGTAAAGACTGTCTAAACCTCGGGTGGACGCCTCACAGGGGCAAATGAGGTGTCCGAAAGGAGCCCGCACAGCTGCACCTGAGCCTGGTCTGGAACAGCATAAGGAACTGAATAAGCCTGGTATCTGTGTTTTCTCCCATGGCCCCCAGGACAGGGAAGGAGGGCAGGGACAAGGGGCTGAAGCTGCCATTGCTGGGAGAAAACAGTGTCCCATGAGAAGGAAAAAGTTGGAAAATCCAGTCTAAATCAGGGCTTCTGAAACTTTACGTGCATCAGAAGCTCCTGCAGGGCTGGGAAAGCAGAGGTTGCTGGGCCACGCCTCGAAGCTGGCATGAGGAGGACCCTAGGTGACACAGAGGCTATATCGGGCCCTCACTTTCTGAATCATGGGGTGCTAAGAGCCATAGCCAAGTAGTATGATGCATGGCATTTTTGGTTGAAAGGTGATGCCAGCAAGCCATTGAGATGATATGATTATGTTAAGATCTGCATTCAAATGGATATTAGACCCCTGCTGTCCACCTTGGCCTGCTACTTTGGAGCTCTAGCAGGACTCCCAAAGAGTTCCCATTGGTTGGGAAAGTGCGGTAGGAGGGAATTCCGGGGGAGGGATTTCCTGTTGGGGTAGTGTGGACCGGGAGAACGCCGCGTGTATGGGTCGGCATATTTCCCGGGAACATACAGGGCATTGGCGGGAGTTTCAAAAATAAAGTTTGTTCCTGTTTGAGTGGCTCGTGATTTTGTGCCCAGCCAGACTGCGGCAATGGGGTTAAGTCAGTGGCCCCAGGTGCACATTAAAAGTCCCTGGGCACTCCTGGAAGGCACCAAGGCCAGGGCCGCACACCACAGGTTGTGTTCTCACTTGGTCTGGAGTGGGACAGGAGCACTGATAAGCTTTAAAGCCCCAGGTGACTCCAAAGCACAGCCCAGCCAGCAACCACAGCTGGATGATCATGAGGCCTCTGCAAGGTGGGAGTCTCCGATTCTCAGATCTCTCAAGGAATAAGGGCTGGCGAGGTGGAGGCTGGGTGCAGAGACCTGGAGTGCCCCAGCCCCGCCCACCCTGCCCTGGGGCCCACCCAAGCCCTCCCCTGCTTAAGGAGCTTTCCCTGGGACTCCAGGCAAGGCAGTGTCAGAGCGGCTGACCACCCTCCCTAGAGCCAGAAGGGGGTTAAGACACAGGGAGGGTGGAGCTTAGCTTAAAGAAGGAAAGATAAGAACAAGGCTTACCTCAAAGCCAGGAATATGGTAGATGGCCGGCTAGGGTGAAGAAAAAGAGGGCATCGATTATGCGCTTGTCACCCAAGACCTCAGCCCCCTCCTTTCTGCCCCAGCCCGGCAAAACATGAAAATGACCACCATGGAATGTGTCAGGATTCAGACAGGCCAGGAGGCTGCAGACCCCGTTTCCTGGGAGAGGGAGGGGTGCAGGGGAAGCTAAGTGTCCCCTCCAGACACGTCACCCAGAGCAGCCCACCTTTCAATTTACACGTTGGGGTTCACATGATGCCAAGAATAAGTCTGAAGGCAGAGCAGGAACCCAAGCCTCTTGGTTCACAGTGGCCACACAGCCGCCCAGGGCCACACAACTAGGCCATGGCGGGGCCAGCACTGGAACAAGGATCCTGCCCTTGCCTGTCCCATCACAGCAGTTAAGACCCCACCACCAGACCACAGAGGCCCTCCTCCCAGAGGCCACATCAGGATATGACCCAGTGCAGAATAAATCCAGGGATGAGAGGACTCAGACATTACAGACTCCCAACATTCTACCCCAGTGATTGATGGAGTCCTGATTTGGAGCTCAGAAAAGATGGGCAAAATGGGTCTCACTAGGAGGCCTGATTTTCAGAAGAGATTGCCCAGAATCCCACTGGGCACTGGCAGCAGGTGGGGGGATCCTGGCAGCCCTGCCCTCCCCACCCCACCAGGTACCCCTCCTGGGCCTTCCTGGGTCTGGATGCGGCCCAGCCTCACCTTCTCTCTCTGGATGAGCTCAAAAGATGCCAGCAGCTCCCCCGCTGGCTGGCTGCCCCTCATCAGTGGGAACCAGGCCAGCCGGGGCATCCTTTCCAGGCTTGGTTGACATATGCAGCGACCCATGAACTCATCTGCACCCTAGACCAGGTGTGGAAGGAGAAGGGTCAGTATCCCCCAGCTCAGGATTCAGAGTGACCTCCAAAAATCAGTAGGCCTGAATCCTGCCTCCTGGGAGGGTCCTGGGAGTCAGGGAAGCCCCCTCAGGCCAAGTGGAAAACCCTGCCCTCCTGAGAGGGACGCCAGGATCAGGTGAGATCTGAGCAACCTTGGACACTGTGCTAGGTTCAAATTCCCACCATGGTTGGGAAGACCCTCTGTATACTGAACTAAGTGCTCCTGCTTTAATGTAATCCAGCTCTGAGCCCATGAGAGACCAGAGAGACAGTCTCCCCACATTTCTCTAATGCCCACAGCCATATGAGTGACATTCCCAGGGACTTTTGATATGTCCTGACTGTTCACTTTCATCCTTAATTTCTCCAGCTTTAAAATGGAAAACTCTGACCATGCTCATCAAATTATGTTCCCAAAATAATGTTTTCACCTGATAATCCCTTTGCCCAGGTACCTTCCTCAGCTCCCTGCTGTCCAGAGGACAGAGTCCAAACCCTCCTCTGGCACAGAAGGCCCCCTCACTGCCGCCTGACACCTCTCTTTCCCTGCCTACGCATCCTCTCCTCCTCCGGCCCACTGGCCTCAGCTGGCCTCTCCCTCTCCTGCCCTCACATGGCCACTTCCCCTAGTGCTGCTGGCCTCTCCCCTTGTCAGCCACCGCACGGAGACTGTGCATCACACGCAGGCCTGGCCAAGTCCAGCAAGGGCAGTGGGCAGAACCTGGGTCTCCGCCAGATGGTGGTGTGGCCTCCCAAGCCCTCGTGCCTTGCCCAGAGCAGGGACAGACCCAGAGCAAAAACTGGGAGGCCACGCTAACTGCAGCCACACCACTGCAGGGGACCTCGCTGTCCCCAAGAGCCATCCTGGAATGGCCACCGGCTCCATATAAATGCCCACACCAGCAGGTGACAGTCTGGCACCAATTACTGAGCGTTAACTGCAGCAGCTACAGCACTGGAAGGGGTCCTGAGGCTGCTCTGGGCCAGGTGTTGCCCCTTCAGCTGCTGAGAGCTAGAGACGGGGTGGGACTGGTGGAGGGCTAGGCAGGCAGGAGAGCAGGAGCTCCGGGCAGCAGTCATTTGCTAGATGCTAGCCCACAGGGAGGGAAAGGACTCCGAGCAACACGTTAAGAAGAAGAGGGCAGATGGTTTGGGCAAAGGGGCCCCAGCCTGGGTTGGGGGTGGCAGTGGGATGAGAGGGGAGAGAGCAGCATTTCAGAGATATTTCCAGAAAGTGTTACCATGACGGGGTGTGGGCGCACAGGCCCACAGAGAACTCTGGCACATCCTGGGCACCTCCCGGCCCACCCTCCACCTGCACCCTTCTCCACACAGTCCCAACTAGGCTCCCTCCACCTGCTCATTCCCCAGGGCCCTCGCTCTTCCTCCCAGAGTTCCCAGGTAGGGCTCCCAGCCCAGGCCCACGTTGTCCACTGCCAGCTGACCCCTCACACACATATCTGGTGGGGACCCTAGACAGCCCTTCCCCTGGTCCCTGGCATCCAAGTGGTGGCAACTTTTACTGGAAACATCTTCCAAACCCTGCCCCCGCCATCCTTCTCCTTGTCCCTACCCAGGTGAGGCCTCTGTGCCACACCCCTGGTCATCTCTTCCAGGAGCATCAACTTCTTAAAATGTTGCTCTGACCCTATCACCAACCCCCCACGCTGTTTCCTAACTCGCACTCCCTTCCCCCTGCCAGCCTGCCCACCCCTCCCCTCGCAGCCCCCCACTCACCCCCACACTATGCTGCAGTGCCCCTCAGCCTCCCCCACCAACCCCGGGACCCCATTTCCTTCAGGGCCTTTGTCCTCCCCACAGCCTTCCCTGATGTTCCAGCCTGGCTCCATCCCTCCCTCCTTGGAACCTTCCAGAGCTGCCTTTCCAATACTGGAGCATTAGCCACCTGCAGCTATTTAAATTCACATTTTAATTCTTTAAAACACAATGAAATTTAAAACTCAAGTTTCTGGGTTTGTACTAGCCACATTTCAAGTGCTCCCTAGCCACATGCAGCTAGTGGCTCCCACTCTGGACAGCACAGCTAGAGAGCACTTCCGTCATCACAGGAAGTCCTGTTGGACAGCTCCGTGCAGAGGCCCCTGCCTGTGCCACAGAGCTGTATGGCACTCTGGGACATGTTCACTCACATACATAGAGGATTCTCTACTCTCTGGGTGAGTCTCAGCCTCAAATAAGGGACCACTCGTCTCAGTAAAGCAAGTCTCTGATAAATGTCTGAAGAATCAGCAGCTTTTGATGGGGAAAGAGGCTATTCTTGGAATCACATAAATAAGGTAGAGACAGAAAAAACCCAGGCTCCTGACCACAGCCAAGTGCCCTTTCCAGATCTGTCCCCTCACTGTGCCACAGGGCACAGCACATGTGCTAGCAATCCATTTTTAATTCCTCTTAAATAGTTTTAATTACTCCACAGCCTGAGGGGTCAGGGGAGAGGCCACCAGCCCCAGCCCTGGGGAGCACCCAGCTGGATGGAAACCCAGAGCTCATAGCACAGCTCTCCCCAGGGCCCTGCAGCAGGTGGGCAGTGGGGGGCAAGGGAGCGAGCTGGGCACACTCACGTAGGTGTCGTGGTCATAGAGCTCTACCACGATGCTGGGCGGCTGCTCAGCAACGCTGGCCGGCTCACCGAAGATCTCAATCTCGTAGAAGATAAGGGTCTGGTCCCAGGTGGGGTTCAGGGTGTTCTTTACGACCACTGTCTTCTGACTCTGGTGCAGGAAGGAGACGATCGCATAGGGATCTGTATGGGCCAAATTGGGAAGAGAGACAGGACATGGCAGGGACCGTGAGAGTCTCCTCTCAGGAGGCGCCCAGGCCGCAAAGCTGAAGCAGGGCTGTGGCCGCCACTCCAGAGCAATGTATCCACGCTGGAACCCATTTTCCTCAGGGGCCTTTCCTGGTCAGGGGAGATCAGACTGGAGGAGGCGGGAGGTGATTCAGGAGACCAGTTACGAGGCTCCTGCAATGACCCCAGGCAGATATGGTCATGGCTTAGTGGGCGTGGACCTAAGAGCTGGTATGCAGTGGGTCGTGTGAGCTCCTTACTATCCCCAAACTCCTTTGCAGCCTGCCAGCCCTGGACGCACCAGTCTGGGACCTAGCCACAAGCCATTCTCTCGGCCCAGTCCCAAAGGCAAGTTAGTGTCACTGGAGCAGATTCTAGGACAGTGGTTCTCCAATGCAAGCAGGCAACAGAATCCCCTGGAAGGTACCCAGAGATTACTGAGTCCCACCCCACACTATGACACTGCAGATCTTTCCAGCAAGTTCCAAGGTGATGTTGATGCTGCCTTAAGGCCACACTTGGGAAAACAACAAGGGAACAGGTCCTTTGGGACTATGTGCTACTCAAGAGAGGAGCACAAGGCCTAGAAGAAGGGGCCCTTCCAACTTGTCCTAACGGAATGGGAACCTGGGGCTGAGGGCTAATTTGTTGCCATTTTGTAAGTCTCCAAATGCCAAATGCTGAGGGCACTTGGACAGGAAAGTGTGGGGACACAGGAGGCTGGCAGCTGATACTGAATGTCTGTGAGGACTTGGCCCAGTGCCCTCATGGAAGCCCTATGCCCTTGGCACCTTGCAGTGCCCTACCTGCTCTGAGCCCACAGGCCTGCCCCAGCACTGACACCCTGTGGGACCCCAAGAGATCCTCAATGACCTTAAAAGCAATGGTCTCTGCCTCACTGGGCACAGAAGGGTGCAAGAATGTCCAAACAACCCTGAGGCTGGGATGAGGAGACAGTGAACCCCACCAAGAAGACATAAGATGACGGGCTCCTGGACCACAAGGAGACCAAGGGGTAAGCCAAGGCCACCGCATAGGACACAGCAGAGAGAGGGACTCTGCCGGTAGAAGAGGTGGGAAGGTGGGTGAGGAGCAGCAGGACTCCTATAAAGGGACCCAGAGAGCAGGGCCTAAGATGGTGGGTGTTGCTCAAAGAACCCATCATAAGGGGGAGGGGCATCTAAGTTACCAGGCAGAAGCCATGGGTACCCATTGGCTGGTCAATGCTGGGTTTAGCCACAGGAGGCTGACCACTAGCCTGGGGCCAGCCTGTCACCTCCTGCACAGAAGCACAGCAGGGTCAGTCATGGGGAGTGTCCTGCAGGAAATTGATGTTGAGCCCTGCTATGGAGTAGCAGAGGAGCAGAAGGTTCTGGGGATAGAAGGAACTGCAGGGGGAGAGGCGGGGGCAAATGCCACCTCTTGCTGATGGGAGCCTCCCTGGCACGGGGCTCCCCCTTCCACGCACTAGCCCTGGCAAGGCTGGCTGAGTCCTCTCCCTCCTGCCCCTGGCAGGGCCCGTCGGCAGTGGCGGCGTCTGTGCATTTAATGAAACCGTCTGGCTGTGATACCATCAGCTCCAAGCTCGGCAGAGAACCTCTCCCAGTTCCAGTAAGGGAAGGAGGGCGCGTTCCCATAAATAAAACCATATTAGAGGGCCGGCGAAAAAGCCCCTTTTGTTCCCACCCCCCGTGCTTCCCAACGCTTTATTTTTATAAGCATGCGGGCCCCAGACCGACCGCGTTTACACAAAGATCACAATTGCACATTGTGGCGGGCCTTGCACGCCGTATTGGTGTTGGCAGCACCCCCCACGCCGGCCCCCCCCCCCCAGCAGGCCGGCTCCCTCCAGCAGCCCCAGCAGCCCAGGCAATGAGCTCAGCACTGGGGGGTGGGTGCTTTCAAACAAAACTCACCCAGACCCACACACGGCCCCCAGCCGCCCACGGGAGAAAAAACACAACAAAGACATTGTAAAGAGCAGGCCTGGAGGCCCCCCGCCTCAGACACTGGGCCACTGTGTGCTGGGGCCTGGCCTCTCCCCCAGAGGGCCCAGCCCCTCCCCCAAAAAGCGAAACAAGGAGGGGGGCACTGTTGCTCCAGCAAGGTGGTCAGATGGACTCACAGACACATCCTCTTGCAGAGAAGCCAAGAGGAGGGAAGGTGGAGGACTGGGTTCTCACTTTCATCCCAGCCTCGGGCTCTCCCCAGGGCCGTGCACCCCGGGCCAGGGGGCATGTTTGGAAGGGTTCTCTCTGAGGACCACAGCTGCCCTGGAGAGACTCCAGCCACACACACACACAGGATTCCACCAGCATCCCCATCCACAATAGAGCCAGGGATTGCACCAACTCCCAGGCAGGTTTGTTGATTATTTGGGGGGGGCGGTACCAGGGATTCAACCCAGGGGCACTTAACCACTGAACCACATTCCCAGCCCTTTTTTAATATTTTGAGACAGGGTCTCTCTAAGTTGCTTAGGGCCTCACTAAGTTGCTGAGGCTGGCCTCACACTTGCAATCCTTCTGTCTCAGCCTCCCAAGCCTCTGGGATTACAGGCATGAGCCACCATGTCAAACTCCAGGCAGACAATTCTTTGGCTGGATCCAGTGCCCTGAATCTGGCCGTTCAGACTGAGCCCTGCTGCTCCAAAGGAGGACCTTCTGCATTCAACATCCTAAGCTCCCCTGTGGGACCTTTCCACCAACCAGCCCAGACCACCAATGTGGAGAACAGGATGGGTAGTGTCACACTCTTTGTCCAAAGAGGGAGATTTGCCCCCAGGAAGACCTGCAATTCCAATTCCAGTGCTCCTACATGTCATACTCGTTGGAAGGAGACCATGGAGTGGATCACAGCAATCAAATTAAAACTACCCTACAGCAAAAATTTAAGAAAAATGATTCAAAATTGTAACTAACACTCAGTGTTGGCAAATAGTTGATGAAGTATGAGGTATTCTTTATCGCTGGAAGCAATTCAGCAACCTTCAGAAAAGTAATTGGGAAGTATGCCCATAAAACATAAAGCCATTCAGGCCCCCTTTTCCATATTACTGGGAATGACCCAAATTAGCCAAACGCTATCTGTACAAAGATGTTTGCTCTGGTGTTATTTATAATATATCATTCATTTTATATAGAGTTGTTGGTAGGTTATCACTGACCTAGGAATGGGAAGATGAAGGAGACCAATTATAGCTCTTAGCATCATCAAACAGCAATGAAACAAGAGATAGAGCGTAGGTTGTGTGTGACTTAATAGTGGAACACACAGGTGCAAGGCGTAGGGGTCCCCAGAGTAGCCTGGTGACATTGAGTCAGGCTTCCTGGAGGTGGTCTCCTACCTGAGCCTCAAGAATCAGGAAGGAATCAACAGAGACCAGGATAAAGGTCAGCCAAGGGTGTCAAGGCACCCAGCAGGCAGAGACACCAAAGAGCATGGGCACTTGGGAAACAGGAAGTTGTTGGTGGAGGTGAAAGGGAGTAGGGAGCACCCATGGCGGGGGGCAGAGGGGAGGACCAAGGTGAGCAGATCACCCATGGCCCTGGACTCCTGCTGAGCAGTGTGGGCTGAATACTGTAGACAGGATGTTGCCCTCCTCTGGGAGCTCAAGGGTCCCAACACGGTTGGACAGCCTCCTTCCCTGCAGCCGCAGCACCTCCTAGGCCACCGCGCCCTGCAAACATGAGAGCTCCCTCCCCGTCTCTTTCCTGCTCAGGAAGCTTTCTTCAGTGGAGCATTTCACAAGCCTCCGATGCATTTGGGGAAAACACCTCCTTATGCTTCTGGGGCAGAATGCCTCCAATGGAGCCAACCCGAACAAAAAGCCCTGCCTAAAGGGAGAGGGGGCCGGAGGACGTGACCAGAATCCAGACGCAGGAAGCCCCAAAGCAAGAATTCCCCCACACCACTCAGGACAGAGTCCACATCTGTATGGAAAACTGAAGCTCTGGTCCCCGGGCCACAGTGTAGCAGCCATTCATCAGATGTCACTGTGGCCCAGCCTGGCAGGAACATCTCTCAGGACCACCCAACTGCACAGCCTTTTCCTCCCAGGAGCCATGGGGCCAGCAAAGAGGGCCACGGGACCTTCTGCCCTGACACCCACCCCAGCCATGGGTTAATGAACAATGTGACTTGGGAAGCCACATCGAGCCCCATGAGACCCTCAAAGAAATATTTCTGGGCTCCTCCAGCTAAGGGCCATCTCCTGGAATGTGATAGCATCGTGCCAGTGCTGCATCTGGGTGGCAGCTCTGCCACCCAACCAAGTTCTCATCTGGGGAGCAACTTGGTGGAGCAGAAAGCTTCCCACAGGGAACCCTTTGAGAAATATCAGTCTACCAAGAAGAGCCACCCGGCTTACATGTGTTCAGGGAAACCACGCTACCCTCTCCAGAATTCCAGGGCAGGCAAGGCAGAGCTGGGTGCCACACAGATGTCACTGTCTTCTCTAGTCACGGCTTTCAGTTTAAGGCAAAGCCAGCACATACCAGAGACGCTGGCCAGGCACCAACAGGCCCACCCCCATATCCAAAAGAAGCCACTGGAATTAAGAGCATCTTACAATGTGTAGGTCTAACTGCTGTACAGGACACACACACACACACACACACACACACACACCACAGGCACTTTCCAAGGGTGCAGAGGATCCAGGCTGGCTATGTGTTCAAGCCCTACCTGAAGGGGAATCCCCAGGCTTCCTGGACAGTCACATCACCACAAAAAGCCCCTTCTAGATGGTGGAATGAGATGGCCATTATCACCCTATATACACACATGATTACACACATGAAACACATATGATTACACGGTGTGACTCTGCACCACATTCGTGTACAATGTGTCCAAGTGCATTCTACTGTCATATAAAACTAACTAGAACAAATTTTAAAAATAAAAAAAAATAAAGAAATTATTTTTTTTTAAAAAAAACCTCTTTATGCCAAGTCCGATATTGTTCCAGAAGTGTTTTCTGGGCAACTCCTGCATATCCCTCAACTCCTCAGCCAGGGAGGAAGCACAGATACAGCCCCTGCCTCTGGACAGCTCCAGAGTCTACCGCAGAGGGACAAGGAGAGTCCATGGGGGCACCAGAGCACAGGAAAGGCCCAGGTCAGGCTCAGGAGCATGCCCCGGGGAGGGCCCTCTGCCCCAGACAGCAGCAGGCAGCTGGAAGGTGCTACCAGCGACAGACAGAGTTAGACCCTCCCCTGGCCCCAGACATTCCGGATTCACACATGAGTTTCCTCAGAGAAATGCCAGCCGGTGGCCGCGCACAGCCTCGGGCCACCAGCCGCCCCAGGGTCAGTTCCAGGGGAGAGATTGCTTTGGTTTAGGGTTTGGGAGTGAAAATAAACACTCTGGGTTTTATAGGTTCCCCGCGTTGGCTGCTGTTTTCCCTTCCATCAGCTGCTCAATTGGGCCTTTCATTCAGAAGCCAGTGGCCTCTGAGGAAGCCCTGGGCAGTGCCCGCAAAGCTCAAGGGATGTTTATCTGGGGGAGGGGTGGGGCCAGGATGGAAAGTGTGACGTCTCCGCAGGCCAATGCCAGGCTGACCCTGCCCTGCAGTCCCTGGACTGAGCACTGGCTTCCCACGCTGGTCCCTTGGAGGAGTTCCTGACTTGTAGGGTCCTCGGCCAACCAGGCGCACAGGGGACAAGAGGCCCTCCACCTGAGCCCCACCTGCCCACTCACCCTGCACAAACCCACTGCCTGCACCCTCCCCCTTCACAACCTCCCCAGGAGAGAAAGCAAGGCAGCAAACTTGACCCCTTCTTATTTCTCAAGGTAAGTTCCAATGGCCAGAGCCCGGATGTGTATCCCAGAGTTAGAAATCGCTGCAGATATTGACCTGCCCCTGGCACAGCCCTCACAAGGTTGCATCTGTGAGTACTACCTGGGCATAGGGAGTGCTCAGAAAGTAGTCATTCTTAGGTGCCCAATGCTACAGGCTCAGGGGAAGACAAAGCCCTTTCCTGGGGGCAGGGCAAGGAGGGTCATGGTCAAAGTGGGAAGGTTGCAGCAGGAAGACCCCAATTCATCTGTGCAGCAGGTAAGGGCCCTGAGAGAGGCACCAGAGAGGAAGCCAAGTGCTGTGGAAGGAGAAATTGTCTCAGCCTGGAGAAGGGCATCCCGGCGGGTCTTGAAGGACAACTAGGAGTTCACCTGGTTTAGATTAGGAAGGAAATGCACTCTAGGCAGAGAGGATGCTAAATTCAAAAGTCAGGCACCTGGAAGAGACTGGCAAACAGACAAAGGCCGATGGGACTGGAGCTAGTGAAGAGAGGGGAACGAGCCCCAGATGAAACCGGTGAGGACCACAGGGGCAGGCTGGCGAGTGGGGGTCCGTCTGTCAGGGTTTTTGAAAGCAGATGATCGATGTGCCCAGGTATGCTGAGGGCAGGCAAGCCACGAGGCCTCCAAGTGGCCTGAATAAGAAGGGGCAAGGCCAGCGTAATGTGACAGTGTGATGCTGAAGACAAGGGAACAGATCTGAGAGATTTGAGTGCCAGAAGCCACAGAACCGTGTGACTGAGGGTTTCTGAACCCCAGGACCAAGGCAGGAAATGCAGAGGAGCCTGGACCTGGGAGCGGCGGCCCCTCAAGGATTGGGTCTGGACGGGATGGGCCACTAGAGCAACTTCAGCCCACGCCATGAAGCAAGCGGAGAAGAAGGACGCCGCTGGAGACCCTGGAGAGGGTGTGGCCTGGAAGCCATGGCTGGGGGGCTTTCAGGAAGGAGGGGATGGTCAGCCATGCCAAACCCTGCAGAGGAGTCAAGCAGATCCCGGAGGAAGGGCTGCTGCACCTGACAACCAGGAGGCCATGGGACTGAGCATCCAGCAAATGCAGCAGCCACCCCCCACAAGGGATGCCTCGGGCCACATCCCCTGTTGCCTGCAGGCCTGACTCCTCCATCTCAGCTCTCAGCCCACGGTCCCCGGCGCTCCTCCCTCTCTCCCACCTACCAGAAAAAGAGTCCTTGTCCATCGCTGGCAGGTCCCGGGCCTGGTACATGTAGCAGCGTAGGTGGTAGCGATTCCCGTCTTCACCGAAGAAGAAACAGAGACACCAGAGTGAGCGGTTGACGGGGTCTAACTGCTGGGGCTAGAGGGGAGGGGAGTCTGCCCTCAAAGGACAGCAGACAGAGGGACTGAATGACAGAAGGGACATAGGCCACTTCTCGAGAGTGAGCCTCGCAAGCCAGGAGGACGAATCACAGCTCCAAGGTAGAACTGATTGCTGCATCCTGAGGCCAGACTAGAGCTTCAGGAATCCGGAGGAACAGAGGAGGACAGGGAGGAGCAGAGGCCAAATAGGTAGCAGGCACTCACAAGGCACAGTGTGAATGCCCACTCTCACACTTGAGTGGATGCACACGTGCACACACACATGCACACACACAGACACACGTGCACACATACAGACACACACATGTGCACACGCACAGACACACATGTGCACACATGCCTAAAGACACTGATCAGAGAGCACATAGACTCGGTTCTCCAGAGCCCCGATATACACACCTGCCCACGTAATCCCATGCAAACAGAAGTGTAGGGTGCACACGCACATCACCTCTGTAGGTCCCACCAAGGATCACTTACAGTCAAAGATGCAGGAGATGGTGGGTCTGTTCACACCGAAGCTCAAGGTAGAGACGGACACAGAATCGTCGCTCCTATCGTCCACTACACCACCCTGGAGGCACAAAACTGGTCATGGCAGATTCTGACCCCAGAGCCCAAAGCTAGTGGGGAAACATAGGGAGGACACGAGCCAAGAAATTGGGAGTCCTGAGACCCCACCATCATCATCGTGACAACTGCCCACCTCGTAGGTGGGAAATGCAGGAGTTTGCCTTGAGTCCTGCTGTCCTGGGCCCTCCCTGTGTACCCCGGGGTGTGCAGCAGTACACCTGGCCTCCACCTTCTGGACGCATGGAGCCTCTCCACTAAGTTGTGGCTACCACAAATGTCTCCAGACATTGCCAAATGACCCCCGGGGTTAGAGGGATTGCCTCCTACTGAGAACCAACAGTAAGAATTAAATCAAATGTTGTACCTGCAGCCTTGGGCAAGATGCCTGGCACTCAGTAACATCAGTTTAACTAGTGACATCAGTTTAACCCTGTCATCTCTCTAGTGTCATGTTAATTTAGTCACTTCTGATCACCCACAGTGCCCTGAACTCCCCTATGTCTGCACCCACCCCTTCACTACCAGGGTCACGACACTCTTCAGCTGCTAAAAGCAGTTGGCCTCCAACGACACTCAGAAGCTCATCCTCTCTACGGCATCGCTAGACGCCAATGTCAAAGTACCAAAGGATTGTGGGAAATTCTTCCGACCCTCTAGAGAAGACTGGATAAGCCAGGGGGGAATTCTGAGCTGTTCCAGGTTACAGGTTGACAGGAAAAGACTCTAAAGGACTCTCCAAGGAAGAAATCAGCAGAGAGCTGGCTACTGGGGTGCATCTAGTGGAGCCAAGGTCTGGAGGTCCCGGGTTAGCATCTCTGGGCTCCCACTATCCATCCACCCGCTGCGTATTTATAGACAGTGCTGGTGCCAGAGGCATATAGGTCCCAAGCCAGATCACAAGCTCTGGGGAAAGGCTTAGATACTCACTGTCTCTCAAAGTTCCCACTGTGCTAGGGAGAGTCTGGGGCCAAGGACAGGAACAGAAGCAGGGGCCACAGCTGGCTCAGAAATCTCTCCATCAGTTTACTGTGTACAAAGCCATTTGGGCAGGCCTGTCGCCTTGTCCTGATTAGCACTGGGATCTAACCATGGAGCCTTGAGTCACTTTGGGGAACACCAAGACCAGACCACTCCCCTGAGCCAGATGCCCACCTCTCTGGTGCCCTCCCTCAAGCCCACCTTCCTCCAAGGGCCAACAGCCCAGCCGCACACCACAGAGGGGCTGGGAGAGCAGGCACCGTTTCCCAGAGGCCCGTGCTGCCTGCTCCCTCTGCCATCGCTATTTCTCCAATCCTTCCTCCCGTCCTCTCCTCAGACCGTCACCTGCTCCATTTCAGAGGCGGTAGGGTGGAGTGATAAGGTGGCCTGTGCTCCATTTCCTTGCCCAGTGGCTCTTCCCATCCCACAAATGTGCACAACGCCTCTAAGAAAGCCCTGGCACCTTCCTGGGGTTGCCTGCTGGTCCCACCCAGGTCCACCCAGACGGGCCAGTTCTCAGCAGTGTAGCCCTGATCTTCACCCTGGATGGAGCCATTTCCCAGGAAGCACCCCAGCTCCTGGAGCTGCAGGGTCCCCCAACCCCTGTACCTCCAAATATAAGACAGTCTTTCACTTCTGTCCTCTCCTCTTCAAACCACAGCCACCTTCAAGCCTAGCCCAAGCTCCTCATCCCAGAAGTCCCTGGATGCCTGTCCCCCTACCCACCCTGCAAGCCAGGACCAGCTTCATCACCCACCGTCACTCAGCTCCGTAGCGGGAACCTTCAGTGCCTCTTATACCTGAAGGGTCAAATGACACTTCCTCCCAGTCAGGCCCCAGTGACCTGTCCCATCCCCCATCCCACACCAAGGTCTGCCTCCCTCAAACCCGGCCCCCTCAAGCTTCCCAGGATCACCCTTGCTCCCTCTGCTCGCTGTTCCCTGTCTAGGCTGCCATCAGGCATCCCAGTCCTCCCCACCTAAGGTCATCCTGCAAGTGATTGGCTCTGGCTCACTTCACCAGACATCCTCCTTTGTGACAGGGAGGAACAGTGACCCTGCCCTAGCTTCCTTTCACCACAATTTCAACGAGGCTCTAAAACCAGATCACTTGGGCCCCAATTCTGACCCTGTAATTAACTGGCTGTACGGCTGTGGGCAAGTTGCTTAATGTCTCTGAATGAATCGTTTGTGAGTTGGAAAGAGGTCTACAGCACCTATCTCAGAGGTACCGTGATGGACAGCTAAAGAAGAGAGAAGACAGAGAACAGGAAGTTCTTGGTATACTGCCTGGCACCAGAGCCAATGTTCCAGAAACGTTAGCTAGTGATGACCTTGGGAAACGGCTGTGCTGGGGTGGTGTTCAGACACCTCATACTTGTATTCTCACAATTATTCCAGGAAGCTGGAAAAGTGAACGTTTCCATAGGGGATCCCAGCCCTGGGGGATCAAACCTGCACGAGCAGGCACCTCCCCAGAACTTGGGTCCCCCCCCTCTCTCTCTCTCTCTCACACACACACACACACACACCCCAGCAGGGTAACAGGGAGGAGAGTCATACTGCAGACAGGGGAAGTCCAAAGGCCTCGTCGTCTTGAGGTCCTCCCTCCTGGGCAGCTGTGGCCCCCAGGGTTCCCACCAGGAGAGGCTCCTGGCCTGACCGCACTGCTGCTCTGGCAACAAGTCAAGCAGCTACTGGCCACTGAGCACCCCTCCTGGCTACAGTGCCTGTGGGCTCTGAGGCCAAGCATGGAGACAGACTTGAAGGCTCCCAGCAGGCCATCCAGGCAGGAGACACAGGACACCAAGGCAACAGGTGGGGACACCAGCCAGCACTGGGGTTCAATGAGGCATCTGGCACTGGCACCTGGCCCCTCCAGCTGCTGGCTATGAGGCCTGGGGTGTGGTGGGGGAGAGGGACTGGGTTCAGTTGGGGTGAAAGGGCCACAGACCCTTGTCCCTCCTCCCCAGCCTGGCCACACACAAGTGCCCCACCGGCAGGTAGGGTGCTGGGTGAGCACAAAGTGGTGGTGGGGGGTGTCGTCCAGCTACACAGGCCCCATAATTCACCTCTGCCTCAAGGGCACCCACAGGGACCTCCCTGCTTGTGGTGGCTGCCAACACCCATCCCCACTCACCTCACACCTCCTTCAGACGGCCTCCCCTCCTGCCGCCCATCAACACCCCCCACAGGCTCTGTCTGGGACTCTGGATCCCTGTCCAAGGGCAGGGCCTCCCGCCTGCCATCAGAAGAGGTGTTCCCCTCCCTGGGACTTCCACCAGGGCTGGGGCCAGGTACAGGCCTGACCCACAGCAGCCCCTGCCCGAAGAATAACTCCCAGGGGGCCCTCCACCTGGCCTTCTCCACCTGCCCTGCCACCAAGGGAGGGGCCCAGCCATCCCCCGTGGTCACGGGACACCAATGCCACTCACATACATCCCTTCTTCCTCCCCTCTCCTTGCGGTTCAAGGAGTCGGATGGGGATTGCGAGGAAGATCCATTTCTGGGGAGCAGGGCAGACACACACTCAGAGCCAAGCAGAGGGGCAGTTACGAGATCAGTGCCTCCCAGCAGAGCCCCAGTCCCCGGCTCCCCTGGTTCACACTCTGCTCAGAACTCCAGCCACACAGCAGCCCAACATCTTCACATTCTCTGGCCACCAACCCTCCCCAAAGGGACCTGGGCTCCCCAACGGCCCCTGACCCTCTTCTGTGGCCTTATTTTCCCTTACAGCACAGATGCCTGGCACGTTCACCTTTCTGCTGACTGCCTCCATCACTGGCAGTGAGCTCTAGGCGGGCACCGCTGGGTCCCCAGTGCCCACTGCAGGGCCTGGCACACAGAGGCCCTGGCACACAGAGGCCCTGGTGACATGTTTACAGAATAAGGGAGTGAAGTCCAGGGCCAGCTCCCCACCCACCCACGCGCCTCCCTCTTCACACCCTGGAACTTCCGTAGGGGTTGAGCCTGACTCAGGGGAAGGAGCCCCAGAGAGGCGCCCCCCCAGGTGAGAAGAGAGTGCAGGCAGGGACCCGGAGGGTGGCTCAGTGGTGCAGCACTTGCCCTGCAGGCGAAGCCCTGGGACCCATCCCCAGGAATGAAAAAGAAAGGAAGAGGGTGAAGTGGCGGTGTGATGTACAGAGTACTGCCAAGCGGTGTGCTAATCCAGGGACTACTCAAAGAGTCCCCACAGCCTTCCAGGGAGGGATGACAACCGCCTCTGTGACCCCAGAGCACACGGAGGCAAAGCAACCCGACAGCAGCAGTCCCAGGGCAAAAGAGCGGCCAGCAGATATGGAATAAATGGGTCACCTGTAGCAGCACGTCATGTGCATGGAGGAGAAAATCCAGGTGACAGATTCATTTTACAGACCCTGGGGCACAGACGGAGGAAACGCCCAGGCTGCATGAGGTCCCAGGAGGGGAAGGGGACAGGAACTCCCCAGGCCTCCAAGTGTGGATCAGTGGGCATAGAGAGGACACGAGCCAGGGGAAATTGGGAGTCCTGAGACCCCACCATCATCATCGTGACAACTGCCCACCTCGTAGGTGGGAAATGCAGGAGATTGTCTTGAGTCCTGCTGTCCTGGGTCCACCTTGTGCACCCCGGCGTGTGCAGCAGCACAGCTGGCCTCTACCTTCTGGACGCATGGAGCCTCTCCACTAAGTTGTGGCTACCAGGAATGTCTCCAGGCATTGTCAAATGACCCCGGGGGTAGAGGGATTGCCCCCAGCTGAGAACCAACAGTAAGAATTAAATCAAATGTTGTACCTGCAGCCTTGGGCAAGATGCCTGGCACTCAGTAAGGGGTACTAGTGACATCAGTTTAACCCTGTCATCTCTCTAGTGTTGTGTTAATTTAAATGATGCCTCTCCTCTGGTCTTCTTTAATGCCTTGAGCCCACCATCCTTTTGCCACAGGGCCTTTGCACAGGCTGTCCTCTCCATCTGACATGCCCTCTCAGCTAGCTAACTGGAGCTCTCTCTCCAGCTTAGTCATCACTGAGGCATGGACACTTC